CCTTTTTTTTTTGGTCGTTGGGGCCGGTTTATTTAAAGGTAATTAATAAAATTTTTTTTTTACGAACTCTGGTTAACGGTTTTTTTTTTTTTCTTATTTGAGCAGTTTCCCCTTAAATATATATTTTTATTTTTTTTTTATTAAAGGATCTAGAAAAATGAATCAGTCCCAAAATTTTTCCTCAATACATTTTTGAAAAACATAATTTAAATACTTCAAGTTACATTGGATGGTTATCTCTAATATAATCTCAAAATAGTTTTTTAAAAAAAGTACCATTTTTTCCTTATAGATTTTTAAAAACAAATGTAGGGTAATTGTATTGCCAAACAATTGGCTTTTTTTTAAAAAAAACTTGTTTTTTTTTTGGTGTTTTCTTTTTCTTTTTTTCTTTTTTTTGTCCAAAAATGGGGGCCCAAGAAAAATTTACCATTTTTTGGAAAAAATATATAAAAAATTCTTTTTTTAAACCACAAAATAACTAAACTTTTTTTATGAAAATGTAAACATTAATTGGAATTTTGGGAAGATTCGCTGCTCGGTTAAAAAAATTCTTTTTTTATTTACTACGAAAGTACACTGATTTCTTTTCTTTATGTGTTTTAGAAAAATCCGTGGTCTTTTTTTAAGCTATTCCTTGTCATTTAAAAAAAAAAAATTTCCAATTTAAACTTAAAATAGTATTCATTTTTACAAAAAAAAAACAAATTTACAGTCAAAAACAAACAAAAAATTAAAACGAAAATTGGCATAACCATGAATACAGGGGCATAAAACGAACAGCTTTAATTTTGATTCATTGTCGCTCTATTAAAAAACTGAGACTGGAAATTTTCCTAGAAAATCTCGGGAGAATTTTTCCCTTTAAATTTGATCTTTTTCTCAAAAAAAATCATTAAAAAAAAAACAAAAACAAAATAAAAAAGGGAAAAAGGTGGCTTTAATGAACGATATAGTACCTTTTTTTGAATACAAGAAATTTTCTTTGGAATGTTTTTTTAGGTAGATACCACCCCAATTTTAATGAAATTTAAAATAACTGTTGTATGTCAAAAGGGACGAAAAAATTCAAACAAAAATCTTATCAATTGTTATAAAAATTGTATAATTAGAATAAAAATCAAGTTTATAAGTGTTAAAAATTTAGCCCCAAAGCTGTTATTTAAGACCATGTCTATTTTGCTTTTGCCGTAGTCGACTAATAACTTTAGTTTTTTAAACAGACCGGGGTAAGCCTTTTTTTGCGACACGGCCCGTTGTTTTTAAAAAATAATAAAAAATTAGCTTGACCAATTAAAATTATGTTGCAAACGTATAGGGATTTTAGAGAAGAAATGTATTGACATTTCCCTTTACAAATATAATACCCCAGAAGGGAAATTAGTGCTAACAATCTCAATTAGATCATGCGCACAGATACAAGAAGTTACTCAAGAAGTTCTTTAATTAATATTTGAAGAAAAATTAATAAATTTTTATTTTTTAAAAAACAAAAATGGCGTTAGAGTCGTTGAAGAAGATAGAAGAGGCTTTGGACCATGATGAAGTGTCTGCATATAAGGCGAATTTCGAAGTTTTCAAAGGTGGGCTAAGTAGACATGACATCGCAAAATATTATGACAAGTGGGCGGAAACGGGCGAATATGACATGGTAAGAAAATTTATGGCAAAGTCTTAAAATAATCGTTATTTAAATAAGGATAACATATGCAAAAGTTCCCTGTTGTAAAAAAGTAGTAATTCTTTATCCAACAACGTGTTTTTTGTACTTTTTAAACGATGAAAACGTCTTGATATTTCATTATATAAAACAATTACATAAATTATCAATAAAGATAAAATAGCTATAGGAATAGTGAAAAAAAGAAATTATTTTGATACTTAGTATTATTGCATTTATTTTTCACATTTTAAACATTTCACAAAAAAAAATGAAATGTTTGCCGTGTAAAAGAAATATCATTATTTGTAAAGTCAAAATTGCTTCGTTTCTATATGTTTTAGAGAATAAACATAACTGCATTGATACAAGGTTACAAAATATTCGGCTGTCGAAAAATATCATTTATTAAAATAGTCATTAGCACAGTTTAATATGCCCGTCTGTTTCCTTTAAAGGATTTCCTCTTTATTTTTCTACTTTTTTAAAAGTTAAATTCATTGGGTTTTTTTGGTGTTTTTTCGTTGGGTTTTTCTTGGGGGTAGGGGTTACGCTATGACACTGTCGTTTACGTGCCACAAAATTTCTCTAGGTTTCAAAATGGCCGTCGTTTTAATTTACTCTTGAAGATGAAACGAATTAGAGCAGGACATAATTTAAATATGTTATAAAGAAGCTAGTAAACGATGGCTGATTATAACAAAATGCCTGTCATCCTCGAGTTGATATAATTTTTATGTCAGAATTGAAGTTTGGAACAAATTAGATATTACTGTCAAAGAATGTTTGACATTACAATATTTCGATAAAAAATTAAAAGTCATTTCATAATTTCTAATTTTACGATATGATACTGATGAAAATTGACCAATTTATCTTCGAGCTGTTGTAAATGTTGATAATATTATTTTCGAAGCATTTTTTTTATTATTTATGCCAAATTATATACCATTGCATTCAACTTCATGTGGTTTCATTCAAAATCATTTCATTTTGAAAACTATTAAATTTTTTAAAAAACAGAAAATAAAAAACTTCAGATTGGTCAGACCCAAAAAAATATCATGGGGTGTTTTTCATTTTTAAATGCTGTTCGGTTTTTTAAAAATAATATACGAGTTTCCTAATTGCCTTAAAACATTTTCGGACCAGCAGTAAAGGGTTCAGAAACTTTTTGAGTCTCTTTTGTAAAAAATGAAATTTAAATTATATAAATAAAGTTAATCCATGGGTTTTTGGGGGTGTTTTTCCCCAATTTAAATTTTTATAAAAAAGTTTTTGCATAAAAAAATTCAATAACGGGTTTTTTACGGAAAAAAAAGTTGGATGTTGTTTAAAATAAATGTTTTAAAGCAAAAGTTGAAAATTAGTAAAAATTTTTTTACAAAAAAAGACAAAGAAAAGTAATTCAGAAAATTGAATGCCATTGAAAAGGGTTTTATTTGAATATTTTTCATTTTGTTTTTACAGCATTTAAATCCAAACCGTTACACTGGGCCGGAGAGTGCGGCTCGAGCACTAGCTAAACAATTTTCCGCTGAGGAACGGTCAACAGCAAGGATACTTGACGTAGCTGCAGGGACAGGTCGATTGGGAGCAGAGGTAACATATCAAAACTGCGTATTGTCTGTTTATTTTGAAAACAACTATCGGTAACATAGTTTATCGGCAATTTAGATACATCGCTATACAGTATTGTAGACATTACACCAGTGTAAGAAATTAACTTGCGATGATTTTCTTTTTTCTCATATAAAACATTTGTATTGCGGGTTTTAGGAGTGTGATTTGTTAAAACATGCGGTCAAACACACTAAAATCTTGCATTCAAGATTTTTCTTTTTTATTTTAATAAACTTATTAAAAAAATATATCTTTACAAGATCTAAACGTATATATGCAACTTTACATTCTTCAATCATTTACGGAGTAAATAAATACCAAAAGTATTTTGTTTGTAACACAGAGCAAATTGATGATAATATTCATGTTATAATTTCAGCTGTACAACCTTGGTTTTCGACATTTAGATGCCCTGGACCCTTCCGAGGGGATGTTAAATAAGGCAAGGGAGAGACATATTTATACCAACTTTATCAATGATTTTATTGGCCTAGATAATCCAGTACCTGTTGAAGACGGTATATACGTTTACTCATCAATGACTTTGTTTAAATATATTTAAATAAATTGTTTCATTTTGTTTGTCAAATTAATCCATTTAAATACAATATTTCCCTTTTTAGATTTTTGTAACATTTTTGTAACATGTGTTGTTATGATTTTCTGATCTTTCGGGATCATTGATTCAAGCACTTTAAAGTGTTGAAAATTGAGTACTGCTCAAGCCGGTTTTAGGGGTGTGTGGGATGTTGCATTTTTTTATTATTCCTCATGTACAGACTCAATCAAACCGAGTCTGCAATTTTCATGTAATTTTGATGTTTTTTAATGCTTCCGAGGGATCACTTTTTTCCAGATATTTATTAATAATTGTTTTATCATAAGCTTAAATGTCGTCCTTGCTACCTGTGAAATTCTTCTTGTTGTACGACCAGGTATCAAATGTCAAGATATTTTATATACATTTGTAACAGATCTTACTGTATAAAAATACTAGTTATAAATGTACTGGAAGTTAGAAATGTCTCTCTATTGTTAACAGTTGTTTTAAAGGCTAAATAATCTTGAAAAATTGTATATTCCTAGTGAGGAATGCAATTCATACAATATTATGAGCAAAGTTTGTAAATACGATATAAATTTCGATTGTACTTTAATTATTGGGATTTTTGACATTTTTTTTTTGTATTGACCAAAGTGAAAGTTATTTGTCGACAATTAACATGTTTCGAATAAGACAAGGCGTGTCTTAATGACGTCATTTATTTATGAATTCCAGGCGGAGTCATCTGTATAGCAATGAGAGAGGAGTACCTGGACTATGTATCCGAGTATAAAGGAACACTGGAACCATTCATGCATAACCTTGAGAGGGATGGAAAATGGAAACTTCTTTCAAAAGACACAATCACCGATTATGCTTTTGGAAAGTCTGGAGTTATATTTCAATTTGTTATTTCATGAAAAATATATCGATAATTCTAACATTCATTATCATTTTGAAGCTATCAAAATTATTGTACGTTTATGCAATGGCTTTTTTCTAAGAGTTGTTTATGTTGGGGAAACGCAAATAAGAAAGTAAACTATGGCTTGACCTGGTTAAACATAAAGATACAGATTGCGTTCTGCTTAGAGGACGGCCATGAGAAACAATTGTTACACATTTCAAGGCCAATGCGAGATCGGAGATGTTAAGTGACTTTTCAACTTCGTATTTCACTTACTTCTTTATAAAATACTTTGTATTCGTTAAACGCCATAACTATAAATCATAATTGCTTTATGAATAAACTATACTATTTGTATCAAGTATTTGAAGCGTTTCTTAAATCTTTTCCATTTATAACAGGCAAAGCAAGAATTAAGAATGTGTGTATTTGACAATGTTGTTCTAAAATATATCACTAGGCTTTAAGTCGTCATGGCACACAGTTTCAGAAGAATGAAATGTTGAAGTTGATTTTTTAATCTTTACATTGACATGAACGCAATACGGAGAGATTTTCATGACGTATCAATAACGTAAAGTCATTAAATAAGAGTTATGTAGGGTCATTTGTAAGAATGCCTGACTGTAAAGAATGCAGTTCACTATATGAACAATGTGTAAGATTTACTTTATTGCACTGGCAATTTTGTTTTGAAATTGCTCACTATCTAGTGGCAAAAAAATGGTTTGAATTACACAAAAAAACGTGATTATATTCACTAAAAGAAACATTTATGTATCTATTAAATGTAACGCACGGCTTTATTTAGTTGTCTATTTGAATATCTAGCAAAGCTGGTGAAATTGATAAGCTTTTCTTCTTTTTGCGTTCGTTGTTATTGTTGTTGTTATTGTTGTACTGTATATACTAACATTATTGTAAATATTGTTCTCTTTACTGTTGATATTATTAAGTTTGTTTTTGTTATCATTTGAAATAAATTAATGTCATTAAAGATGAACCAAATTTATCTACGCATTTGTTTTCATTTTGATCCTGAAATCAAACGATACTATAATTATATAGCCATACACTTTTCATCAGTTTGATGAATACTATTTCATTACTTCATCCATTTTATAATTAAATGTTTTATTACAAATAAAACAAATGAAAGCGTCTTTTTACTGTCTTTAATTTTAAAAAGCACAACAAAAAATTAATAAGAAGAAAGATAAAAAAGAAAACAAGTCTATCCTATAGTATCTAATAAAATTATCATAAAAATTAGATTTTTGAATTTTTTTTAACTCTAACCAACAAATGAACTAGTATATTTCAAAATATCAACGCTTAAAACTATGTTTATTTTAAAACAAAAAGGTGCAGTTTTATCCGAATTTCAATAAAACTCTTTGTTTTGACTATTATTTCACAATTATTTATTGATTTCAATAACCTGTCAATTACATACTGATTATACGGTCATGTACACAATATATTAATCTTCGACAAATTTTCGGTTTGTTCCGTGAGATGTACGCAGTAAGAATTTGTATCAATAAAGTAGTTGTACTGAGCGTGCAGTAGTCGCAATAGGGTAAACTACGGGTTTATATTTTCTAAGTTCCCTACGTGTTGTAAGATCAAGACCTTGTACATGGCGTATATGCCCATGGTTTTTTATTTGTATTTTCAACATTACTGAGGCTATGAACGTTTTTTTATGTTCGTTTTGTTACAATGTTTTGCACTTATTATGGTAAAGTCTACACTCTTTTTAGATAAAATTGGTTAAGAACTAAAATTAAAATTCATTCGGATTAAAATAAATAATGGCAATTCAACGAAGCAAAACGCAATACAAAACTAGACAAAACAGTGTTTCTAAGTTGCTTCATATCCGTGTACACAATTATGCAAGCACTCTGCCATTTCCATTAAAATATACTGCAAAAACAAAGAAAGAGTCTTAAACAATGTCAACAGTAGGGACCGAACCACAGACCTCTCATTTGTAGGACAATCACTATACCGACTGTACTATTGCGGATGTAATGACGACCTTAATATTAAGCTGGTGCGACTTTCTAAAAAGTCAGTTATATCCTCCAAGTTGCAAACGACACCGAAGTGGGATAACATATTAAAATGAATTCTATAATGTATTCATAATTGACAGGTCAATAAAATCAGACTGTAAACTGAAAGAATGTCAACTTTTCAAATATGACAGAATTTTGACGAATACTAGTACACGCCAGTTTCTCTATAAATTTTTAGAATAAATTCAAATAAATTCTATCATTTAGTTTAAAAGCAATATAGATGGACATAATTTCATTAATTAAACTGTTGCATTCATATGCGTATACTCTTATTTTTAGTTGTTAAGTCAATCTCCATTTATACTGATAACATGAACATAAAAATTATCAACAAAATAAATTATGTATAAAAATTATCGAACATTTTTAACTAATGTAAAACTTCACTCAGTTCTGATTTTACGATCTTAATAAACACAATAACATCAATTAGGAAAATGGGGATTTTCTGCTTAACAATCAAGTTAAAACAAAACATAAAAAACTAGTTTTTTTCAAATAGAAACAATGTCATGTGAACATAAATAAACTACAAAAGTAAACACTTTGCCTGTATGACTTTTGAAAACTTATTTCTGTATACATTTTTTACATGTTGAGAGATCATAGCAAAAACAACAATATCCACCTGTTATACATTTTAACCCTTAAACTGCAAGAACTTAAATGGATTAGCCTTTGCCACCAGTATAGAGCCAGACCAGCCTGCATATCCATGCAGTTATGACTAGGCTATATACTGTTGGTATTTCATTTTTTTTTTTCATTTTATTTATTTATCTATTTTTTAAAATGCATTTGAACAAAACCTTTTCCGACATTAAAAGCCAGTCAAATTCATTCATATATTTACCAGGTGAAGAATTAGGTACCATTAAGTGCCAGACAAAATTGTATTTCTAAATTATTGATGAACAGACCCAGTTCTGCCTAAATTCAAACTGCATATCACTTATGCAAATATTGAAAAATATGGCCTTACAGACCAAACATACACAGAAATATTGAATATACATTGTATATGGTTTAACTGACGGACCATACGCAGAATTATTGAAAATGTATGGCCTAACATACCATACATAAAAATATTGAAAAAATATATGGCCTCACTAAACACATACAGTGGATAGTAATGGAAGTGTATGGATTAGAGTCTAGTGGTTTATACCTACATTTGGCACGTAGATAAAATGAAGATTGAAGTATAATCTCAATAATCTCTAGAAATAGAAAATATTTGTTTAGAAAAGTATGAAATTTATAGTAAAAAATTAAGATGGATATTTCTTAGTAATTTGAAGATTTAAACCCTTCACTCTCTGTATGATAGCAGTGACAATGACTTACCTTGGCCACCAGTATGCAGCCAGGCCAGTCTCCATATCCGAGTAGTCTTACCAGACTCTATACTGTTATAATGATAAATGTTTAATCTTAAAATCCGATAAATTAACAATAGTGTAACTAGAGGAAAAATTCACTGTACAATAAAGTTTAACCAACCAAGAAATGGAGCATCTAAATTATGCTATTGTCAATAACTCTAGTACCATATTATATCATCATATACATAGTTAGAAATTTTAACAGGATATAAAAACTTAAACTATTTTTTCACACAATGTGAATAAAACTAAAAGCATTTTAGGCATTAAAGGCGTTTAACCTACTTTCTCCCTTTCAAGAAGTACAATGGTGAAGATTTAGTAAAAACATTTTTTCACAACTCAAAAGAGAGACAGATTGTTTAGTTTTTAGTAAATAAAAGTGTTTAAGTTAAAAAAGTGGAAAATTAATATTTATAAGCCAATAACTAGCCCAGCATTTTTGAAAACAACTTCATTAATCAGTTTACAATTAAGAATTTAGACTTTTCTAAAAATTCACTAGAGAAATAGCTTTCAATTGAGATTTAAGATGAACAAGAATGCTTTTGTGAATAAATGCTATACTATCGCATGAATATAACAGAAG